AACCTCTTCCAACACCCCTCTCTATCTATTGGAGAAACTGTTCAAACCTTTGGAGGAGCTTATCTAAATTCTGGAATGAAGTATGCAAACGCATCACTTGGTCGCTTGGTAATGGTAGAAATGTTGGTTTTTGGACAAAGACTTGGATTTCGAATTAGGGGAGACTTATAGATCAACTTGATGTACCTATTCCAATTAATTTGATTAATGAGTTGGTTAAGGATTATGTCACAAGGAATGGGCGAGTGGAGGTGGGATAAATTTAGTAGGTTGCTTCCATCCTTAACTCGCATGATGATAGTAGGGATATGGCCACCGGTAGATTGTTAAGAGGAAGACAATCCTTGTTAGGCACTAACTAGTAATGGGATGTTTTCCACAAGGTTAGCTTATGATCTTATTAGTTCTTCTACAAGCATTCCAGCGGAGAAATGGAAGCCGATTTGGCAATGGAAGGGACCCCAACACATTCGTACTTTTCTATGGTTAACTGTTCATGGACAGCTACTCACCAACATGCAAAGAGTGAGGAGAGGTTTGGTTATTAACCCTTTCTACCCTCGTTTTCATAGGATTTAAAAAATGATGCTCCATGTCTTGCGTGATTGTTATGTGGCAACCAAGCTATGAAAGGAGGTTAGGGAAAACAATTTGATTGATGGTTTTTTCACAATGAATCTTAATGATAGGGTATGGTTTAATGCGAAACTAACTAAGTCGGCACATGCTAAACATTTGCTTGGAGTACATAGTATGGAGTGTGCTTGCTAGTTTTTATGGACCTCGCGGAACAAAAGCATTTTTGATGTTTGTTTTATCCCGCCTCACGATCGTTTGTGGCTATTCATGCTTTTTCGAAAATATTGTGTCTAGTATGAACATGGCTAACCTTTTAGCCAAACCGTTTCCTTCAAAAGCCTTTTATTGATTGGATTATACCTCCTTCGGGATGGGCTAAACATAACACGGATGGAGCTTTGAGAGAAATATGTGGTATCGCTACTACTGGAGGTGTCCTTCGGGATGCATAAGGTATTTGGTTGCATGGCTTTTCTTATCAAATTCGGATATATTCAATACTGCATGTAGAACTATGGGGCATATTGATTGGTTTGGAAATGGCATGGAATTCGAGCTTTCGACGGATTTTGTTGGAATTTGACTCCTTGATAGCAATATAGTTAATTCGAGATCCGGATAGTCATCGAGGAAACTACGGACAACTAGTCTCCTCCATACTTAGAATCCTTTAGAGGCCTTGACGGAGTTCGTAGTAATCACACTTATAGAGAATCTAATCGTGTGGTGGATTGGCTTGCTTCCCATGTTTACTTTCTTACGAGAGGAATTTTATATTTTGATCATGCCTCATTAGGATTTATTAGCCTTATGTTGGAGGATATCTATGGTGTAGCCTCCCCAAGACTTTGTAATTCTCACCCTAATGCTTAGAGATCTTCTCTCCCTTATGTGTGTGTCTATATATATATATATATATACATCCGAGTTAATTACAATTTTAGTGTACACCACTCGCTAATTTTTTCTAAGTCAATTTTAATTTTTATTATTTAAATATATCAAGTAACATTTTTTTTTATTTGAATAGTTTTATAAACTCTTGTTAACTTTATTCTAATAAGTCATTAACTACACATATGACACTATCATTATGAACTCCATTGTGAGCTACGTAGGAATCAAAAAAAAAAAAAAAAAGAAAAGTTTATTGCATATTTGGTGTATAAATTTGTCAATTTTTTTTTCTATTTGAATGTGTAAATTTTGATCTCCGTTATTTGAATGTACCAACTAGAATTTTTTTTCCTATTTGAGTGGTTTCTTTAACTCTAGGTTGATAAGTTCATTAACAACATACGCAACATTGTCATGTAGGCCCATTGTAAAAACACATATCAACTAGAAGAAAATAAAAAAAATATTTAAAAAGGAACGATTCATTCTCATTCTCATATAAAAATAAAAAAAAGTAAATAAATCACATAGCAACAATAAAATATTTATGATTTTATATAAAATATTTTTGTTAAGAAAAAGCTAAACAAATTAGTTAAAAATAATTATATACATGAAAGTGATTGAAATTTTTTTTTATAAAAAAAATCTTAGTTTGGATGTCCGTTCATCAAGGCAATTATTCATTCTCATTCTTAGTAAAAAAAACTATGGATTGTGGTTGTTTAGAAGATGACGAGGTGAAATTAAGTTTAATTTAGAGTGAAAGGTGGCCTTAATCTAAGTTGGAGAACATGGGTTGATTAGAGAAGTTTTTTTTTTTAATTTTATATATTTATTTTTATAGTAGTATTTTTTAATACAAATATTTGTTAAATAATTTTAAGTAAATTATAAACTAGTCTCTATAGATTCAAGAAATGAATTAATTAGTCTTTGTTATTTAAAAAAAAAACTATTATTTAGTCCTTTTGACTAGTGTTGACCATGCATATTTTAATATTATTTTATTCCACAAAATCTCTTCTTTTCTTGTTTTGTCAATTTTTTTTAATCTTTTTATTCTATTTCTTGAAATAAAAAATCAAAATAAATTATAAAACCAAAAAGAATTAAGTTACAAATAGATTTAAAAATATAGAGACTAATTTATTTATTTATTTATTATTATTTTGAAACAAGAGGGACTAATTTGAATTTTAATCATAATTTTTTTTAAAATTTTTTAATTTATGTCCGATGGCAAGAAGTTTCTAATTACCATGTCATTAATGATGCCACATGTGTAGTTAATGGACACATCAATCTAGAGTTAACAAAACTATTCAAATAGGAAAAAAATATTATCGGTTGATACACTCAAATCGCAAATATTAAAGGTTGCATACTTAAAAAAAAAAAACCGATAAATTTACACTCTAAATAATAAACTTTTTTTCTAGTTGTCGGGAGTCCGATAGTGAGGTCCTCATAATATTGTCATATATACGAGTTAATAATCACATTAGCATAAAGTTAACTGGAGATAACAGAACCACTTAAAAAAATTTACAAATTGGTATACTTAAATAGAAAATATTAAAGTTGACATAGTTAGATAGAAAAAATTGATAACTTTGTACACCAAAAATATAATTAACCCATATAGATTTTAAACATAGAAATAATTACAGGTACAATTCATATACATATTGAATCTTTTTAATTCTATTTTGAAACATAAGAAAAAAGAATTAATTATTTTCTAAAGCATATGAAAAATAGGATGTTTGAAATTTATTATTTATCAATCAATATATAAATTGACTCATGTTTTTCATAAAATTTATTTTAAATTTTTTCTTTTTTTTTTCTTAAGCAAACAAACAAATCCTTAACGTTATTATCAAGTTTTGTGTGTGTTTCAAAGATAGATCTAATTTTACACATGAAAACCTAATTAATTGTGGTGACTTCATACGAATCATATTTTTCTTATCATTTCGTTCAAAATAAAATAAAAATAAAAATATTGTATCAATGACAATAAAATATGTATATTTTTTAAAAATAAAATTGATACAACTTATAGAAAAAAGAATATAGGTATATTTCACTTAAAAAATTCTGAAAAGAGACATAAAAGTTTGAAAATTGATTATTTGATAACTACTAGCAAAAAATCTACAATAATTACAACCACCAAGTCTTTTTCGTCATTAGAGATTACAACAAAAAAGGGTGTATTACATGATGTAGAATTCATAAGTGAATTGCAAGGGTAAGATTTATTACGAGCTACTTCTATTATCATAGGAATAGGTTTGGGAAATATGAAAAGAAAAAAAGGGACAACAATAATCGGTTTTAGCTTTGCTACATGATAAGGAGAGTTTCCTTATGGTAGGTGGCTTCTTCTTAACTTTATACATCACTCATCTTTTGTTTAACTATTGACTTTGGGATATATGCTCTAATACTTTCATTCACTTGCAACCCATCTTCCGGGGTCTATCAAGTAGTTCGGACTTCGGGATCTTTACTACGCCATTGGATTTCTTTCATGATTTGATACCATACAGAGCTAGATAGTTAAAAGTGAATTCCATCTAAAAAACTTAAACCTTCTAGTAGGTAGTCCCTTCTTAACCTTATATATTAATCATCTTTGGTTTAGGTATTCAATTTGAGATATGTTCTTTAGCACCCTCCTCATTTGCAATCCATCTTTTGAGATATGTCAAGTGGCTTGGGCTCTAGAGTCTTTGCTAGATTGTTGGGCCTTAATGAAGCTCTAAAACTATATAGAGTTAGATAGTTGAGATTGAGTTTTATCCAAAAACCTTAAGTCTTAGGGCGAGTTGGTCATTTCTTAACTTTATATATTAATCATCTTTAGTTTAACTATTTAATATGTGATATGCTCTTTAACCCTAAAAGCTTAATCTATTAGATGGGCCCCTAACAATAGTTTTATAATACCCCTAACATATCTCCATAAGTAAAAGAAACTCATAATACCTTGTGCTTAATTAATTAGAAGAGAAATGAAGATGGTGAGATTTGAATTCATGATCGTTTGGTCATCAAGGATAAGATATCATATATAGTTAGATAGTCGAGATTGAGTTTCATCCAAAATACTTAAGCTTTATAATAGATGACCCATTCTCAACCTTATATATTACTCATATTTGGTTTAACTATTTAGTGTGAAATATGTTTTTTAATACTCTTACTCACTTGCGACCTATATTTTGAGGTTTGTCAAATGACTTGGGTTTTAGTATTTTTACCAAGCCGTTGTGTCTATTTCAAGATTTAATATATTTTAGAGTTAGATTATTAAAATTGAGAAGATGGTGTATCAACTCGTTGTCAAAATCCCCGTGAATTGCAAGGGCAAGATTTGTTACGAGTCTTCTTCTATTTTCACAGGGAATAGGTCTGCGAAATCTGAATGAAGATTAGAGGGACAACAACAATGAGTTTCATCTTGGTACCATGACAGGGGGAATTTTCAGGAACAGAATGGCCTAGTGTAGGTGGTCTCAATCGCGAAGGAGAAAATTTTAGACGGGTCCAACTTAATTTGTGTTGCTAAGAACAAATACTCGGAGTGCGGGAGGAGAGTATTGGACGTACACACAGTGATGCTTGTCAGACCTCAACCAAATATGGAAATGGGGTTGTCTAATTGTGCAGGTGCAAGTTTCAGTAATAATTGTATCAAGTGCATGTTGGGTGGCACAAAGCCATACAAATGGAAAGGGTCTTTTTCGAATGGCAAACAACGTATTCAACTAAGAAAAAAAAAAATTGTCAAAATAGTTCGACAGACAACTTGTTACAACATTACCTATTTATTGTAGAGGTACGTAAATTATGCAAGAAATTTAGTAGATTGGGTAAAAAGGACAAGAAATCTAAACAAGGTACTAAGAGAGTAGCTCCCGGAGCTTTAAAAGCACAATATACTAACAAATCTTAATTTAATTAATGTCGGTCCTTATCTGCTAGAAGAGTAGGCAAAAAAGCCACAATTGAATATATGAAGTTGATGAAGGCTCAACATAACCTGATAATTTTGGTTATCCACGAGCCTAAATTAGCAGGCAGCATAATTGGTAGCTTCGCCAAAAGCTTACGATACTCGCACTATTTGCATTAGAACCTAGTTAATACCCAAATGTGGATTTTGTGGCATGACTCGGTGGACTTAATTTGTGTTGAGACTGGTAATCAATGTATTAATATATCTGTAAAATATAATAATTGGCCAGAAATTTTATGCTCCTTTGTATATGCCAAGTGTCAAGAATAAAGAGAGTAACTATGGACTGACCTATCTAGGTTGCCTCACCAAGTTTAGGGTCCGTGGTTAGGAGGGGACTTCAATACCATCTATGATATCAGTGACAAGGTTGGGAGTACAGACTTTGATTGTCCAAGTGTGCATGACTTTACTTCCTGTTGTCGTCAGATTGAGATAGATGATGTGGGTTTTCAAGGAAGTAAATTCATCAAGAAAGTGGTGCAAGAATCTGGCAGAGACTGGATATAACTCTGGTTAATGGGAGTTTTAATGCTAATTACCGAATATTTCAGTCACTCACCTGGCACAGAATCTATCTGACCACTCGTCTCTTCTAGCTCAATTAGTTCAGCATCCTTCAGGCTCGAAATTGTTTAAATTTCATAAGATGTGGATGGATCATGCATACTTTGATGGATTTTTGAATTCGGTTTGGGCATAATGCTTTTAGCGTAGACCTTTATGTGTCCTTCACCAAAAACTTAAAACACCGTCAGCTTTAGTAAGAGGTGTGGAATTGCCAAGTTTTTCAGAAAATTCATAGAAGGGATGGAGGCTATTCAAGATACAATTATTCGGCTCGATATTGAGCTGTTCCATCAGTAAAATGACCATACGGCATAACTCTTGATCTAGTCAAAAACTAAATTAAATAAATTGATTAAATGGGAGGTGGATATGTTATAACAACTTGCAAGAATTAAATGGATCATAGATGGGATCGGAACACAACTTTTTTTTCATACATGTATCAAAGATAATACAATAAAGGCTAAGTTTGGAATCAAATTAGAAGATGATACTTTAAGTGAGTACACTAATGTGATGTGAATTTTTTATTTTATTTTATTTTATTTTTTGGAATTGTTTATAGCAGGTCCATACATCATGGGTTATTTGTTATTTTAAGGGTTGGGGCAAAAAGTTACTGATTTTCTGAATCAATTTCTCTTGGCATTACTTTTAGAAAAAGAGATTAGAGAGGCTGTTAAAAGTTTAAACCGATCGAGTGTTCTAGAATGAGATGGTTTCACATGTCATTTTTACCATGGTAGATGAGAGATTACTAAATCAAATGTGATTGGTTGCTCAAAAGTTATTTACTGGAGGTTATCTTCCGGAAGGCAACATGCAGGATTTATAAAAAGGAGAAATATTACTAAAAATATTGTTGTGGCACAAAAATTGGTGACTGAATCGGATAAAAAGGTTGGGGGTAATTTAATATTCAAATTGAATAACTATAAGAAAACCGAAAAATAATGATAGATTTTTTCATCATTATATATATCATCAATATCTGTCATTATTTAGCTTTAACGACATATTTGTGACAATTTATTTTTAGTATTTCGTTGCTAATTAACAACGGTTTAGCCATTGCGAATGTCTAGAATATCTGTTGCTAAAATGAAGTAACCAGTCTTCTCCTCACTCTATTATCTGCTACAAAATCATCGGTCATTGATTATTTACGTCCCTAACTAGCAACGAAAGTGCCATCGCTAAATTATACTCGTTAAAATTTCTCACAAATTCATCGCTAAATCTATCGTTATTTAGCGACTCGTATATGTGTTTATTGCAAAGAGGCTTAATTTTTCTCTCTAATCCATCGCTAAATGAAGAAATTTTTTTATACATTAATAGCCATTTAATGTTAATAGTAGTAATAAATAACTAAAAATAACGCCTTATTAAAATACGATATATTATTTAGTAAAATTAAAATAGTATAAATTAAATTGAAGTCAAATAAATATATAAATACAATAAGGTGTACAACAAATTAAAAATCTTTTTTTTTTTTAAAAAAAAAGGAGAGAAATCTACTCATCATTATTATGTTCTCCTCCATCATCTTTCGGCTAAAGGATATTAAGAGGAATGATTGATTGACTCTTGGGTTGTGGAGGGGTCAATTGAAGGGACACGAGTTTGCTTGTAAGTTCCATAACAACTCTATAAATATCTGGATATGACTCTATAGAGTGTTGCATTTACTCGTCCGTTATTGGATGGTCACCTCCATCCCTTGATCCTGTCTTACTAAATGGCATTTAAATGTGTGAACTTCTTCAAAATTTTTATTCCAACACTTACGATGATTACAAAGACACCATAACTTTTTTCCATCTATATATTTATAATGAGTAACGAGTACATATAGTAAATTCTTTAGCCTTATTATTCATGAAATCATCACTTAATACCCATCGATATATCTAACATACATTCTTAATTGATAAGATCTCATTATTTTGTTTTCATATTTCCAAGAGAACACATAATTATTTAATTAATAATTTTTTAAAACATCTAACAAAATTTTGATAGTAGTCTTTACTCGTAAATTACACCTTTTTTCAATTAAAAAAATACTCCAAATGATCATACAAATATTGAAATTAAATCAACGAACAATCAATTTGCGTACACCGGGAATGGCACTTGCTTTGGATACTCGATTGAAATTAAATCTCAAACTCATCCTTCCAACTCTATTGTAGAGTATTGGACCAACCTTATTTCTCCTTAATTCTTGACGAGTCTCCGACCCCTCAAGTTTAATATACTATGGCATATCTCAAGCACACTTCAATAATTATGTAAAAACTAATTAATTAACTCAAATTCAGATCTAATTTAATTTTAAATAACAAATACTTAAATAATTTAAATATAAATAAAATTAAAAATGAACAGATTAATCACAATTAACCTAATTAATTTAACTCTAATTCAAATTAGCCTACTTAATCTAATTCAAACCTAATTAAATTTAAAACTAAATCAAATTAACTTAATTAAATCTAATTCAAACTTAATTAAATTTAAAATAACAAACAATTAACAATTTTCAATAAAAATAAAATTTAAAATCAACCTAATTAATTTAACCCTCTACTACGGATAGTCAATTTTATCAATCATAGAAAGGAAAGGTTAGCACTTTAAGTTGTAATTCCTTTATTGCTTTTTTGGATCATTTTCTTTACCGTCTAATGAAAAAAATCAATATTGTTAGCCAAAGAGGGAAAATTGATCGAGAAAGAGGTATTATGAGGTTGTCCTTTTGAGGTCGAAAAACCAAGTTAATGTCGTATTTGTTATAGTTAGAAGGGACTACTACCACTTGTGTATGGTAGCCAAAAGGGGACTTACTACTATGAGTTAGGCCTTATTGAGAGAGGGTTTGGCCAAGAGAGGAGGGTTGGTTGAAGGAAAAGGAGCCGAATAAGAAAAGAGGACTAGCTAAAGGAAGAAGGGCTTGTTGAAGAAGGTCGGGAGTTAGTGACTATTCGTTGGATAGTAGCGATAGCATGTAGCAGTAATGGCTTTATGAAGAAAGGTTGGCTGGAATCTTTTTGTAAGTTTCCTTAAGGTTTTAGCCGATGGCTTCAAGGAGTTCTTCTTGATCTTTGACCAATGGCTTAAATGAGGCTTTTTTTGGGGTTTTGGCCAATGGCTTAGAGGGTTTTCTTGAGCTTAGTTGGTAGCTTAGAAATTTTTTTCTTTATACTAGGTATCCCACTACAACCCTTCCTTCCTCTCATTAGGAGATGGATTAAATGGCAACTTCCTACTTTGGGTCAACTCGAAACTTAATACCGATAGGACTTCATAGAATAACATATATAGTGGGAGGGGGAATCTTTTATGATGAATGTGGTAGGTTGGTCATAGCTTTCTCTCATTTTTTTTTTGGCCCAAGTACAAGCTTGAAAGTTGAAGCTTTGGCTATTCTTGAGGGCATTAAAATCGTCTTACTTATAACATACAAGTTGATGTTATATAGACTAATTTTTCAATGTTGATAGTAGGATTATCTCGTACAAGCTCCTTCCTATGGCATTTAACATATATCTTTTCACGAGTGTCTGGGCAAGTCTTCCTACTCACATGGTGTTACGGCTTGTGCATAGGGAGGGAAACATGATGGTAGATGGGTTTGAGGATTGAGCCTTCATTCGGAGTTCCAACGAGGTTTTTTTCATTGATTATGGGTTGCCCATTATCCGCATATCAACTTTACTTGATGATCAATATGGGTTGTATGACTTTCATTCTAATTAAACTAAGATTTATATGATGTAATGCATGGTTGATTTTTGGTTTAGATCTCGATGCTTTTTTCCTTTTGTCTATTGCAAATTAGTGTTGTATCCTACTTCGAGGAACCAATCTTGTATCCTTAGGTTAAGTAATTTCACTATTCCTATTTTTAGGAAATTTCCTTGTAGCCTATTTTCCAAAAAAATTTTTTGTAACTTATTTTTAGGAAACTTTCTTGTCGAGTCTTTTCGGAGGATTGGGCTTTCTTGTCCTCCCGGTCTAGTGGGCTAGGTTGGATTGTCCCCTTTTGAGTCTTTTCACATTTCTATTAATATATTGTAGGGTAGTGGTCTTATTTCTAAAAAAAAAAAAAAAGAGTTTTTCTTACATTTTGGTCGACGACTTGAAGGAGTTTTTTCTTAAGTTTGTAGTTGTGTTTTGGGTGATGGATGAAGGAGATGATGGTGGGTTTGAGCTTTTAAGGATGATGGCTATGAAAGCTTTGAGGTTTTTGAGAAAGTGTTTCTTTCTCTAGGTTTTTCTTGTGAAAGAAAAATAAATAACATCTTCCTTTAAGTAAGAGAGAAATAGAGCTTTTATAATAAAGGTTGTTAATGTTTTAGGTGAAAACCCTAACTTACCCTTTTCTTTTTCTTTTTTCTCAATTTATCATCTCATCTCGTTTATTTTCTCTTTAAACCCATTTTCAATTGAAATTATTTTAATTAGGTCTCTAATTAAAATTTTCTTAGTCCTAATTCCCTATATTTTTTTTAATTGGACTCCAAATCCTAAATATTTTCTACTTATCTCCTTCTTCTATTTTTTTTCCTATTATTAATTCTTCTAAACTCATTTTATTAACTCTTATAAATTCATAATAATAATAATAATAATAATAATATAGGATTCCTAAAAATCCTAACCAAAAGATAAAAATTCCTAAAATAAAAGAAGGTAAAAAATTAGGTGACAATAGTTGCCTTTTCTTTACAACGCTTTCGTTGCAAAGTCATTGAAAGGTCATTTTTTAAGTGTGTATATCAAAATTTCTATAGAAAATAAAAAAGGAAAAGAAACAATTAAAGCACATGCAATAAAAAAAAACATCATATTCGATGATAGGTTACTATTTCTAAGTCTTTGATTGATGCGGGGGACTATCTTCGAGGTCTAATAGGTAATCGTAACCCATGAAATTTATACATATGTTTAAAAGTAATAGTATGATTGGGTTTAAAAGAGATTTTACAATAACGGTATATTCGACGATCACGTCGAAAATAACGGGAGGAAAAATTTCAAAAAATGTAGGTAATTATCCTTTGGGGTGTTTCTAAGTTTTTGGGATGTAGGATAATGATAAGAAATATA